TTAACTCCTTCTGTATGCACCCATGAAGTGGATGGTTGTGGTTGTTCTTGTGTGAAGTTGAGTTGATTTCAGTGCATAGCAACCCTGTAGGACAGAGAATAACTGCCCCCAGGGTGCCTAGGCTGTAATCTCCATGGGAGCAAATCATCAGGTCTGTTCTGCAGAGCCACTGTTGAGTTCATACCAACGACCATTCATTCAGCAGCACAGCTTAACTTTTGCACCAACAGGGCTTCTTAAGTGGGATGGAGGGACAGAGAGAGATCATCTCATTTTTACAGATGGAGAAATGCAGCAAATTAGTGAGCCTGAGAAAATCTCTCAGGCTGAGATTCATAAGGCTGCCACTTGCAGGCTCTTTGTCCTACATAAATCTCAGTTTCTTGTTTTGTGAAGCAGGAAGCAGTGTGGATGATATTGTACCCGCTGTCCTGCTCAGGCTCCATCACAGGATGTTTGTGAGACTCCATCAGGAAATGTATGTAAGAGTGCTGTGAAACTGTAATAAGTGATTAATCATTCTCATGCAGCCTGTTGCAGAGGGGAGGCATTAAATAATTGTTGATTAACTGAAGGGTTCTCATTTTGTATTTTCCAGGACTCTCAATCACTTACAGAGCTATCTCTCCAGGGCTATATTTGCAAACACACAATTATTTCAGGCAGGAGTCTGTTATGGGTTGAACTAAACTTTCCGTTACTAACAAGAAGGTGAGAAATTCAAACCCACCAGCCACTCCTTGGAAACCCTACATTATGAGTTGGAACTGACTCAATGGCATGTAACAACAATATCTTTCCTACTTGGTGTAAGGGTTAGCTCCTAGGCTGAAATTGTTGTTGTTGTTGTGAAGTGCTGTCTAGTTGGTTCTGACTCATAACCACCCAGTATAGGGTTTCCAAAAATATTTGCTGGAATCCTAGCCCCTATATACGTGGATATAATCCCATTTGAAAATAAGCTTTTCTTGTTATGGTAATGAGATCATATTAGTGTAGAGTGTATCTTAAATTAAACCTACTCATTTTTGAGATATAAAATGAGCAGACTAGGCATAGAGGCAAGCAAGCACAGGTGAAGGAAAGACAGGTGGCATAAGAACATCACCAAGGAACTGAGACTAGAAATGCCAAAATAAGGATTTCCCCCAAGAGCATACAGAGAGAGCCTCCTCCTATAGCCAGTGCCCTGAGCTTCCAGCCTCTTAAACTGTGAGAACGTAAATTTCTGTTCATTGAAGTCACCTACTTATAGTGTTTCTATTACAGCAGCACTAGAAAACAAAATTCTTCGGGCAAAAGGTACCACTCCTTCAAATCCTGCATGTGCAGAGACACCCAGACATACAATCAGAAGGTTCTAATTCAAACACATATCAGCAAATCTTCTAGGGCCCCATAATTCAGAGATTAATGAGTTCAGTTTATTTTGGTTCAGTTCAAGATGTAGTTCCCTACTGATCAAGTAGAATGAAAATATACTCCTGTACTTTGAATTTTCTCCTTGGTTGTGGGGCAGGGTGAAGAGGTATCTTGACTTTAAATAGAAGTTGACTTGATATTTGGTACACTCATATGCAGGTACTCTACTATACTGAAGTGTTATTGGACTGGCACCCCAGAATCTGGTTAACACTTAGTTTCTTATTCTCTGGGTTTCATCATTCCTCACATATAGTCTCATAGAAGATTTGTTGTTGTTAGGTGCCATCGAGTCGGTACCGACTCATAGTGACCTTATGCACAGCAGAACGAAACACTGCCTGATCCTGGGCCAACCTCACTACTGTTGCCACGCTTGAGTCCATCGGTGCTGCCACTTGGCTAATCCATCTCATTGGGGGTCTTCCTCTTTTTCTCTGACCCTCCACCTTACCAAACATGACATCCTTCTCTAGCGACTGGTCCCTCCTGACAATATGTCTGACATATGAGAGAAGAAGTTTGGCCATCTTAGCCTCCAAGGAGCACTTTGGCTACACTTCTTCCAAAATGGATCTATTGGTTCTTTTGGTAGCCCATGGCATTTTCAATATTCTCATCCAATACCATAATTCAAAAGCATCAATTAATTAGAATAAAAAGATTAGAGCTGGAAAAAAACCTCAGAAATGAACACAAATTCCTTACCCAATGGCCAAAGTCAGGATTGGTTAGCTAGAGATACAGCCATCTAACTGCAGAAGCAGCGAAACAGCAAGATCGCCTATCTAGGATTCTCACCACTGCACTATGCTATATGATATTTCAGTTACTAAACAAAGTGCTTGTTGGCTTCTAACTATTCCTTCAGTTTTTCTATGAGAGAAGAAAGGAGACAAAGAGAGAGGAGGTTGGAGAGAAGGAAAGAGAGAGATTTTTATTGAATTGGCATCCTAGTTCTTAGCTTTTATTTCTAGATCTTAAATTTTTCATATGCAGCCTCAAAATGTCACTTGAAATCCTTCAGCATGTCTCTACATATGTTTGTCATTTTGCTTGCTGCCTCCATAACTCAAAATTAATTTCCTACATCATCATTAGTATTTCTTTAGATGAGAAATTACCCAAGAGCAGGCTTCTGTTCTGGAAGTTAACTCTCAACATCAACCTGTGCACAGGTGCTAGAAACGAAGACTCCTTGTTGAGACTGGTCTGTAGACATCACATGTGTCCATGGGTTCACAGTCTGATTGGACTGCAACTCTAGTCAATTATTCATGGAAATGTATTTTCGTGTATAAAGGATTAACAAATGCGTGATGCTTCAGGATAATGCACTGGACTGAATCAAACTCGCCCGCCACTCTTCAGAAATCCCTGTACAGGGTCGCTATGAGTTGGAACTGACTTGACAGCGCTTAACAACAATAGCATTATTTTAAGTTTTTTTTTTTTTTTTCCCAACAGGAATGGTCTGTGTGTTTGCAATCTGTCATATAAATTCAGTCTCAAGAGATTTATGCTTTTGGCCACTTCTGCTTTACACTAAGCGTGCAGCTGGCATGATTGCCTCTTAGTGGCTCTCTTCTTTGATAAACAATGTCATGCTCTAGGAAGTTTGTGAGAAACTCTAGAAACCACAGTCTTATTCAGTGCAGCAGTGCTAGGAAATATAGGTTTCAGGGCTTGAGATGGGCTATTGCTTTCATTATCCATGGCCATAAAATGAAAATGGTCAATTCAGTACTGAGGAACCAAGTTTCAGATGCTCCAGTGGTATATACCCAAACAAGGAAGCTGTGCCTTTACTTGTTTGAGCAATGGTGAGATCATTTGCATATTCTTCTTCTACTTCTATCCCTAAAAAAGTAACCAATGGCAACTATTGTCTTCTTCACACCTGTTGTGTCTAAAAGTGCTAGAATTGGAGACCAGCTACATGTATGTACTGTTGCTGTAATGAAGAGCCTTTAAGTCAGTTCCAATTCATGTCACCCAGTACAGGACACGTATGCATGTAGGCATTTCAAACTATGAGCAGCGGGTTAATTTCCTCTATCTCACATCATTCCTGAATACAGCATTTAATTTATCTTTAAAACTTCTAAATATGCCAGGCGAAAGGTGTTGGACAGGTAGGTGTATGTAAGGTGGGTAAATAGAAAAATCTCTAAAGCAACGCAATATCTTTTATTGTTTTTGTTGTTGTTATGTGCCGTGGAGTCAGTCCCGACTCATAGCAACCCTATACAGGGTTTCCGAGGCTATAAATCTTTATGGGAGCAGAAAGCCTCATCTTACTCCGGCGGAGCAGCTGGTAGTTTCAAATTGCTGACCTTGCAGTTCACAGACTGATTCATAACCACTACGCTATCAGAGCTCCTTAAGAAAAATACAAAGTGCAAGGCCAACATATATGATAGATACAGTACTGGTTTGAAAGGCAATAGAGAATATTTCAGAAGACTAAAGTCATTGAATTTGAGCTAACCACATGTTGTTTTTTTGTTAGCTGCTATCAAGTCAGCCCTGGACTCATAGTGATGACTTGCACAACAGAGTATTGTGATCCATAGAGTTCTCATTGACTGATTTTTAGGAAATATATTTCCAGGCCTTTCTTCCTAGTCTGTCTTCTTCTGGAAGTTTTGCTGAAACCTATTCAATATCATAGCAACAAGCAAGCTTCCACTGACAGACTGGTGGTGGCTTCCCACCACTTCTCACACAGACGATGAAAATCTTGCCACTGAATCATAACTGCTACCTACATGGGTGGGAGGGAAAGGCATTTTCAAAGAGGAAAGAGAAGGTACAAAGGTCAAGAAGCAGAAGACAATGTTTCAGGGTGGAAAATACAGTAAGTCCAATATTTCTCGAAGACAGTTGTGATGTGGGGGAACTTAATGGCAAACAAGGTGAATGTATGGTAAGAGATCAGATTCTGAAGGACCTCAAATGTTAGGTTGAGAATTCCATCCCAATGGCAATGGGAGGTTGCTAGTGGAAGAAATCAGAGAAGACATACCTGCATTGCTCCAACTTTCAACAAAATCAGTACAATGGGAAGAAAGAGAAATAGATGAGCTGATGACATATGTTGTTGTTGCCAAGTGCTGTTGAGTCTGTTCTGACTCATAGTGACCCTGTATAGGGTTTCCAAGCAGCGGCTAGTGAGTTTTGACCTCTGACATTGTGGTTCAAACCAAACTTGCATTCCACTGCTTATCTTACAGCGCCACACCAAGACTCCTAGAAGGAGTTCATCAATTAGGGAGAGGTGTTGAAAAAGAGAGAGGGACTGAAGACAAGTTTCCAGGGTCCTTTTAAAGAACTTCAGAAGCAACGACTTCAGAAGCACAGAGGCTGCACTCCTCTGGGTCAGTCCTGAGTCTCAGGTCACGCTGGTTATTGGCACGGGGTTCTCTCCCCCCACCCATCCTTTGAGCATGTTTCCCATCTACAGACAATGAAATCAATTTTGCCTCAGAGTGAATTACTGCCACAGAGCTCCCTGTTTCCTCTGGAATGTGAATCCCGAAGAGTTATTACCACAAACTTGGCCCTTCAGAACTCACCGTGAGCAGGTTGATCAAATCCATGTTGGGTTCCAAGTGGTGAGAGGCATTCTGCAGGGAGACCAGTTCACTCAGGGTAACGGAAAGCTGGTGCATTTTCACAATGTTCACTTTGTTCTCTTCTGTCCAGTCTGGGAAAATGACATGGACTGCTATCAAGTCTTTCAAGTGTACTCCAAGGATGGGGATTTTGAAGCCATCACAGTCTGCAAAGGCCTTGCGGTAATTGCAGTAATTGCCGTTGGAGGAAACCAGCTCAGTCATTTCATTCCAGTTCTGGGAACAGATGCAAAAAAAGAGCTTTCAAACCACCTTCCCTTCTGCCCGCTCCAGGCCCTGCAGTGTGTGGCTAGGAAATTCCTTAGCTACTGAGAGCTACATATCCATTACACCAGAGTTGTTACAGGGATGTATTAACCAGGAAAAAGAAAGAAAAATGTACTAGGCCTGACTGTGTGAGATGGTCAGTGTGCTCCATTTCATCATCAAAGGGAAACTGCCTATGCCTCTGTCTACCTACTTGGGGTTGTTGTTTCTGTTATGTGCCGTCGAGTCGGTTCCGACCCATAGCGACCCTGTACAGGGTTTCCAAGGCTGTAAATCTTTACAGGAGCAGAAAGCCTCATCTTTCTCCCGCGGAGCAGCTGGTAGTTTCGAACTGATGACCTTGCGGTTCGCAGCCCGATTTGTAACCACTACACTACCAGAGGTCCTTGGGGTACTGGGTATTAAATGGCCTTATGTACAGTTAAGTATTTCGTGATTCATGGAAATTATAGTCCACAAATTAAAGCATGTATCAAAGTAACATTTCCACTGTTTCAAGAAAATTGCATTAAAGCAATTAATTGTTGTTGTTGTTATGCGCCGTGGAGTCGGTTCCAACTCATAGCGACCCAGTACAGGGTTTCTGAAGTTGTAAATCTTTGTGGGAGCAGAAAGCCTCATCTTTCTCCTGCGGAACAACTGGTAGTTGCAAACTGATGACCATGAGATTAGCAGCCCGATTCGTAACTACTACGCTACTAGAGCTCCTTATTACTTTATAGTAAATCTGGGTCAGTATGAGATGGTTTAAGTTGCACTGAAGTATGAGACATTGGAGTTTTAGACTCTGCAGCTAAGGAGAAGGGTGAGGTGACCTTGAGCAAGTCACTTAACTTTCCTGCACCTCCATTTTCTTTTCTATAAATAGGACTGAAACCAAAACCAAAAAACCCTAAGTCACTGCCATCAAGTCGATTCCAACTCACAGCAGCCCTGTATAAGGTTTCCAATGCTGTAAATCTTTACAGGAACAGAAAGCCGCATCTTTCTCCCATGGAGTTGCTGGTGGGTTTGAACTGCCAACCTTATGGTTAGCATTCCAGTGTTTACCCTATAGTGCCACACCAGGCCTTCTATAAATAGGAAGGGGAGTTCAAATAAATAATTGATAAAGGCACACTGGCCATTTCAATACTTGATGTGCCTCTGCTGGATTTTTTTTCTACGTGATTTTCAAAAATTTGTGTTTATTTCTTACTTGAAATGGAGTGAAAATCAAAAAGAAAAGAAAACACATCATGAGCCCTATTATACTTGAAAGGAGGAGTCCTGGTGAGATGCTGTGGGTTAATGCGCTGGACTGCAAGGTCAGTTTGAACTACAAGGTTGGTGGTTCCAACTCAGTAGTCATTCCTTGGAAACCCTATACAGGGTCGCTATGGACAGGAACCAAGTTAACAGCACTTAGCAACTACAACATACTTAAAACGAATGCAGTGTTTGAGGTCAGGTGGAGATAGTGGACTTCTGTGGTTTATTTCCTCTTGTTTATAAGAACAGGTCATCTTTGGTTGCCATACAGCAACCAAACCTTCCTAATAGATCCCAATTTTCATCAATATACCCTTTCTTAAAAGAAGCCCTGGTGACACAACGGTTAAGCACTGGACTGCTAACCAAAAGACCAGTAATTTGAACCTATCCTTTCCTAAAGTAATTCCGTGACTCGAGAAGTAGTCCCATCCACAGGTCCAAAGGTTCTGATTTCCTATTATTGTCATCCCATCCCTCTGGCTTGTGAGGGCTTGAAGAGCATAAAGTTAAGCCAATCAGTACATTGTATTCTTCTGTCAACTGCTGTTGCTTCAGAGATGGGCACAGGACCTGAAGTGGCCCAATAGGTAAAAAAAAAAAAAAGTCATTAATTCCATGGGGAATGGAGACTGGTGGAGAACTTTTCTCTATCTCCAACTGTCATGAATAAAGTATCATGAAATTTTCGTTACTACAGAAGGACCCAAACAGTAGGGAAGTCAGTCTAAGGAAAAACACACCACCATGATACTCAATCGGGCTGCGAGCCTTAAGGTCAGTGGTTCGAAACTACCAGCCGCTCCGCGGGAGAAAGATGAGGCTTTCTACTCCCGTAAAGATTTACACCCTCGGAAACCCTGTACAGGGTCGCTATGGGTCGGACCCGACTCGATGGCACTTAACAACAACAACAATGATACTCAAAGGAAGGCAAAAGCAATTAAGCCAGAGTTCTGATCCCATTGTGCCTGAAGTTTCTGATGCTTCTGGACTTCCATGTATTTGAGAAGATACATTTCCTTACTTGTAAATTTATTTTCAGATGAGTTTTCTTTAACATGCAGTTACAAGTGTTCCTATTAATTCAGTCAAATATGCTCTTACTAAAAAGAAAAAAAAAAAATCCTTTCAAAAATATCATCAGTAAAGAAAAAATTATTATTGTAGTCTAGAAATAAATACGGCTGAAAGCTAGGTTTGAGAAATGATCATTGCTATGTATATGTAGTATGTATATACAAATTCCTGACAATTCAACTGTAAACTCTGAGACTTTCTACACATGGCTTATGTCTTTCCCTTTGAGTCTTTCACTGTAGAAGCTCAGCGCTATGAATAAAGTAGGCACCGAATGGATTGACTTCATTTGACTGCTTGACGGTTGAAGTTGATGGTTGAAATGATGTGGCTTAACACATAGTAGGACTCCTGTTGTGGTGCTGTAGGATCAGCACTGAACTGCAAACTACAAGGTCAGCAGTTCAAATCCACCGTGTTCCTTGGAAACCCTATACAGGATCACTATGAGTCAGAACCTACTTGATGGCACTTAACAATAACAACAAAACATAGTCACTCTAGTAGCGCAGTTGTTACGAGTCGGGCTGCTAACCTCAAGGTCAGCAGTTAGAAATTACCAGTTGTTCTTTGGGAGACAGATGTGGCTTTCTGATCCTGTAAAGATTTACAACCATGGAAACACTATGCAGGGTCGCTATGAGTCAGAACCAACTCTATGTTACACAACCAAAGACTGTTTATAACTACAATGTATTAATGGTATGCCAATTCGCTCTTATTGGGACACTTACCATCACCTCAGACCTATTTTTCCAAGTGAACTCAGCTGATCTGGATTTTCTTTTCTTACTTTACTCCCTATGTATAACCTACCTACCATTGGTCTAAGAGGAAAACCTTTCCACTTGGAGTGACATTTATCAAGAGTATATTAAATATAAACAATTTACAAATAAAGTTTTAACTTGGAATTAGGATCAGATTCACTGTACCTTTGTAACTTCCGAAGAAAGATGAGAATGAGTCTCTTTGAGGCGAGAAATAGAACTATGGCTTAAGCCGCCCACCACTGACATCAGGGTGTTAAAATTTTTTAGGTGAAGGAGTTTCTGCAATAAAAACGTTAACAAAGATATTTTGTAAGACTTTTGGAACATCTAGAAAATAACATTAATTTGAAATGCAGCATAAGTGGAATCCATTGAAAAAAACGTATCTGTTGTTTCACTCAAAAGTAGGGCAACCTTAATGCTTCTGAGTATTGCCTTTTAAAAGCAATCTTCTTGCATTAGAACTGTCTGATTTGTTCATTAGACTCCTAATGGGTAGTTTAATTGCTTGATGCCCTTATATTGTGAATACTTAAGTTCTTCAACGCTTTTCTCAGTAGAGTAAGTGAACATCTCGAATCCTTTCAGAGCTCCAGTTCTGACCAACAGACATACCTTTGCAACATTGATAAACTTTGTGATGACCTCTGCCCTCTGCTGGGGTGTTGGTTTGCTAAGAACCATCAACTGGACCCACTTAGAGATTCCATTAAATAAAGCAATAGATCTCTCCAAGGTTGGGTTATTCTCTAGGCAGCCATGGATGACATAGCTTTGGTAATCGGTGAACTAGTAAAGGAAGAGTCAGAGATTCTGAATTATAATAGAGCCTTACAAAATCAGAATTAAAATGCTGCACAGAAGATATGTGATACTGTTTTAAAACAAAATAAAGAGTTCTTCATTTTACACTCTAGTGGCATTCTATATGACTGAATATACACATATCTTTAAGCATCCTATTTTGATGCATTTCATACAACCATCCCCCCAACACATACACACACTCTTGCATATCATAGTGCTGGTGGGAAGAGGAAGAGAACAGTCTGGTCATACTCCAGTGAGTCCCAAATCTGCTAGATCATAATAACCACCTGGAGCATTTGTTAAAATATTGATTCCTGGGGCCACCCCAAATCTACAGGATCATTGTCTTCAGAGGAAGACCCTAAGAGTACACATCTCCATTTTAACCCAATGCTACAGTTTCCAATAATGAAGTCTGAGAAACAATGCTTATACGGTAAAGAAAATTTATGATAATGATTACAAGTCAGTGTCATTTTATACTTTTTTTTCAGTTAAAAAAAAAAAAAAGATAAAAAAGCAATTGACATAAGAAAGAAGATAAAATAGCAGTTAAAGTAAGACAGGTCTTTAGTAAAACATACATTTTCAAACAATCAGCATAGATGCTGCCTATTACATAAATGATGTAGGGGATTCCTTCCCATAGCCTGCCTGTGGGGAATCATTAAGGTTCTTTCCAAGCAGGATTGCTCAGGGAAATTCTCAGTATTTCAAAAATGCATGCTTCTAACCAGATGCTCTTATTTGCAAGCAAGAATGGAATTCATTTCCTGGCACCTTGGAAAAAAGGAGGAGCGACAACTATAGAGCTTGGTGAGATGAAGAAAAGCAGCTGGCTGATTGCGGCCTATTGTGGAAATCTGATTACAGCAAGTGGACAGTGAGCAGTTGGCTAGGAAGGGATCACAGTCCATAGAAAGAAAAGAACTTTCAAGGAGAAAGGAAGTCCGTCAAGAAGAGTAGAAATGGAAAACCTGATTTCGGATCTCCATCCTTAGGAAAGAAAAAACCTGATGCACAATTCCTATTTTCAACCAACACCCATAATTAGCCATTTATGCAAACCCCAACCTAGATAATTCTTCCCAGAAATGAAGGGGTGTAGCAAAACGCATTCACTTGGGAGATGTCAGTGAAGTGAAATAAACCTTGAATGGTTTAATCTTCACCAAGCATTTAGAAAATCACGCTTTAATCCTATAAAAGGAGACATTGAAAATAGCGACAGAAATATAACTTCTGAGCCATAAAATAAAGGCAGGATAATATTTATCTTTGGTTAAAAGGAATTGTTCCTATGAATTAAGGGCACTTTTCCAGTGGAGCACACTGAGAGAGACTGCCAACACTTCAGAGTATGAAAATGCAGCTCTTGGGAAAGTTGGCATGGTGATTGTTATCCTTGGAAGAATAAATGTCGAGTTTCTTACTGAGATCCTTCTAAAAGATTTATGCTCCAAAAAAGTGAGGTGTTCAGCCAATTCAATGGGCTCCAGATGGTCAAACAGCAGACAGGCTTTCCCCTTCTTAGACACTTTTTTCCTCTGTGTGACTCTTCTCATCCAGTCATAGGAAGGACTATGAAAGAAGAACGAGTCTGGTCAGTGCGCTGAAAGCTCATTTCACTCAATGGAAGTTATTAACCTACTGACTCTGTAACTCTTGGCTAGCTTCCAGGGCCCTGTGCAAAATACATGCCCTGCCTTTTATATTTTAAGAGAAAACCACTGCCCCATTGCCAATAGGACATAAATTTTACATTGTTTTTCCAGACAGAGTGGGTTTACCCTGATCCATCCAGAATCTCCCATTTGGTCTTCCTAGGGACCAGCAAGGTTTGGATCTAAAAGGAGAGGTCAAGGCTGGGCACATAAATGTGGATGTTTATCAGCATTTAGATGGTGGGTTAAGAAATGTGGAACCCACTGGAAGCTGTTGTTCTCACACTCCACTGTCTTATGAATAATTGGGAAAACTTACTATGAAGATACGGGCCTATATCACATCACCAGAGATTCTGATTTATTAGGAGCGAGTCTAAATAACCTGTATTTTTGACAAACATCCTTAGTGATGTTTGTAAAAAAATTACAATTTTTAGACTCACTCCTAATAAATTCCTAAATCACTCACTGCTGATTACTCTTGAAAAACAATTCTAAGAAAACAGAACAAACTATGAATGCCTGGGACTCAAAGAGCCTTCATTAATTAGCAAGATGAATAACCAGACTTGGTGGTCATGAAATAGTTTCTTTCTGTGCAAAGTTAGCTAGTTGACATGGAATTGTAGTCTAGTCTAGTTCCTAATAACTTGGCTGACTAGTTCCTGGCAGAACTATAGTTAACATTTGTACAGTCTCAGGTCAACCTCTGAAGAGCCTTGGTCCAGCGCTTCTTAGACCAGTGAGTCTATGACTCACCTGAGAATATGACTAAGATACAGATTTTGTTTCAGTAGGGCTGGGCTGGGGCCCAACATTCTGGATTTCTAACCAGCTTCAGGTGACACCAATGCTACTGATCTCCAGACCACATTGAGTAGCAAAGGCATACCCCCCAAGACACAAACCCACGTGTCAATTCTGACTCACAGTGACCCTACACAAAGTTTCTGAGATGTAAGTCTTTATGAAACAGGTAGCCTCATCTTTAGGAGATCTTAATTAGATTCTGAATCAGTAACTAGGTAGTGAGCATCTATCCTGTGAATTTATTGGACACTCTCAATAACACCTCGAGAAAGATATTATCCTTGTTTTATATACAAGAAACTGAAGCTTGGAGAGATGAGTTGTGTACAATGTGACTGTGCTTTAAGCTGCAAGACTCAGCTCAAAGGAGCAAACCTAAACTGTGTGATAATATAGGTCAAGGTCAAATGAGGTCATCAGTACTCCCTCCCAAAAGGAGTGAACTCATCATGTTTGAAAGAAGTTTGTGCCACTCTTACATGCTGGATATGTCGATAAGGCTGATATGGTTTTCATAGCCTAATTGACTAGCTACTTCCCGGAATTCTTCAGTCATGCGAATCAAACCCAGGTCCAAATTAAACTCTGCAGGGAACTTCAGAATCCAGTACCTGAAATGCAACAAATATTTTTTGAAGGCTGGTAGAGATCATGTTGGACTTGTATGGAAAGTATTGCTTTTCAGATCCAACATTATACCCTGAATTAGCAATTTTGCTTCTCCCCTGTCCATCATATGAAGTTCCTCTCTTCCTTCATTGAATCAAGGAATAATATCAACCACTTCTACCCTGAGCATCTCTTTCTGCCTCTGTCTAAAACTACAGATGAAAGGAAGCCCTTCCTATAGTTCATGGCAAGCAAAGGGGAATGTGTGAGGTGGGGGAGTAGAAGAAAATAAATTTACCCTTTCTTGGAGCTGATTTTACTCCCTAATCAACTTTACCACTGTTGACCTGCAGCCCACAAGAAAGATAAATTCTATCCCCTGGAACAGAGGAGAGTCCATTTTTAAAAAGACAATAAAAGAGGCATCTGAGTTGATACTATTTTCAAATGAAATCTGCTGTATGGGGAGAAGGGAGTTGTCAACAATCCCAGACTACAAACCTGCAAGACAATTAAAAATTTAAGTATATTTACCTCATGAAGTAGCAGATCTTTAATCGAAATTCATTGCAGCTTTCTCCACTGGCATTTTGATACGTGCACTGATTAAAGAAAATATCCTTGAACTTTGTTTTCTCTCATACTTTGCTCCCATCTGCAGTTGCTTTGTCAATTTAGATGAATTCCTAATAAGAAGGCCATACTGCGGACATTTGGGTTAGTGGGCACTCGAATGGGAGAGGAATGGACTGTGATAATTCCAAAGCTGAATAAACAAAATTTAATTTATTATTCCTTTGGGAAGTACTTTTTGTTTGGAAGATAGGATGCTTATAAAATTAGTTTAATCTTCTTGAGCACTTCCCAACCATGAAGGTCAACTCTAATTACAAACATATTTGCTAACTATAGATAATTAAAATTGATGGTATACAGAAGCACTATTTTACCCACAAGTGAAGATTATAAAATGAAAAGGGAGATTTTATATTTAGGACAATGTCTTTTATAAGTACACTAATTTCTTTAGCATCTGAAAATGTCACATCTGAGAAAATTAATATTCAGGTTCTGTTGTAAGCTGTCCTCTGTCTACTCATTTATATTCTTTGAAGCGATATTTATGGAGCTTCTGTTCTATGCTAGACAGTATGGGTTTGCAGCAAACAAGGAATCCAGTGTTATGGATTCAGTTATGTTCCCAAAAAGATATGCTGAAATCCTAACCTCAGTGCCTGTCAATGTTACCTTGTTTGAGGAAATAGGGTCTTTGTAGATTTTCTCAGTCAAGTTAACAAAGTCGGGGGGGAGGGGGTCATCATCCTACAATTGTTGTTGTTGTTATGCGCCATGGAGTCAGTTCCGACTCATAGAGACCCTGTACAGGGGTTTGCGAGGCTGTAAATCTTTACAGGAGCAGAAAGCCTCATCTTTCTCCTGCAGAACAGCTGGTAGTTTCAAACTGCTGACCTTACGGTTCACAGCCCGATTCGTAACCACTATGCCACCAGAGCTCCTTTCATCCTACATTAGTATCTTAAAGTAAGGAGGACAAACACTAAAACAGGGCCACACACATGTAAATATTCATATACTAGCCAAAGAACACCAAAGCCCAGTACTACCAGAAATTGAAAGAGAAGTTGGATCTTCCCTTAGAGTAAACAGAGAGTCATGGTCCTGCCAGTGCTCTGACTTCTAAATTCAGAGTCTATTGCATTAGGCAAACCTATTTCACAAGACCTATTTAAAGCATTCAAAAGCAAAAATATCACTCTGGGGACTAACATGCGCCTGACTCAAGCCATTATATTTTCAATAGCCTCAAACGCATGTAAAAGTTGGATATGAATAAGGAAGACCATAGAATAACTGATGTGTTTGAGTTATAGTGCTGGAGAAGAATATTAAAAGTACCATGGACTTCCATGACGGGCAAGGATCACGTGGAACCTCGGCAACCTAAGACAGAGCCATTGCCATGCTGCAATGAGTTTCGATGAAGGGTAAGACTGAGGAATTCGCACTGACCGCCTAAGACAGGCAGCGTCCCTTAAACAAATAATAAATAAGGGGGAATCTGATGCAGCCCGTGCAGACCCGGTCAGGAGTTCAAGTCCCTGTGGGCCCAAGCATTGCTGACCGTCCAAACCATAGGCTCTGAGGATCAGACTTTAGCCACCTAGCAGGCATAGCAAAATGTCCCTTATCTGACTATTCAGTTATGCGGTTAGTAATTCCATTCATGAGCCCTGGATACCCACAGATAAATGTAAAAACCTTCCCTAAAAGCCGAGACTGTAAATTCTAAAAAGGCAAAGTTTTCCCCCCAAAAAACAGCTAAAGAGGATATAGAGAAACTCTGTTAACTGATGGTATGTGGAGGGGATTATAATCAATGTAATGAAACAAGGTATATGAATGTTTGAATGTGAAATCGATGATGTGCCCTGAAAACTTTCACTCAATCCACAATAAAAACCTTAAAAAAAAAAAAGTACCATGGACTTGCAGAAGAACAAACAAATCTGTATTGAAAGAAGTACAGCCAGAACGTTCCTTAGAAGCCAGGATGGTAGGACTTCGTCTCTCTTACTGGGGACAAGTTATCAGGAGGGACCAGTCCATGGAGATGGACATCATGCTTAGTTAGGTGGAAGTCAGTGAACGAAAGGAAGATTCCCCAATGAAATGAACTTACACAGTGACAGCAACAATGGGCTCAAGTGTACCAGTTGTGAGGCTGGTGGAGGACCCGGTAGTGTTTTATTCTGTTATACAGATGATTGCTATGAGGTGGAGCTGACTCGATAGCACCTAACAACAACAGTCTCCATGACTGTGAAACAATACATTTCTGGTGGTGGTGGTAATGTGTGTGTGTGCTGTTGTTGTTAATCCTTTCACTTTGTGTTATGGCAGTCCTAGGAAACTAAGACACAAAGGAAGTCAACTTTAAAGAAATGTCAATTCTCAGGCAGTTTTTAACTCATACACAATCATCTATACTTTCATGTGTGTCCAAACATTCTTTTTGACTTGTGTTTGTTACATCAATGGACATACTAAAGGTAACAATAATGTTTGTAGGTATATTCTTTGGATAGTAGTTGGCTTCTAGGGAGGGGTGGTGTCCAACTGAGTCAACCTGTCCAACCTTTCCTATGTTTACCAGGGGTTCCCATGGGAACTAGGCTCTTCTTCACTTCAGGGTGAAAGTACTCTTACCCTGTCTCCTATGCTTAAGGTTGTTAGGGGACCAGAGACAAGCTGAAGGTAAAGGAATCTTGAAGTGGGCAGTCAAGTGCCATCTGGCCCAGACAGCAGTGACAGGCACTGGTAACACTCAGTGGACCTTCCCCCTGGCAGGTTTCCTGAGCCCTGTAGGATTTCTCAATCACCTACATTGTGCCCTGGTCTGGGAGAAGTTGGAGACCACAAGAATCAACAGTAGAGATTATATAACATGCATTAGACCTTGTATGGGATAACTCCTTATAAATGTGACACTATTTTTCTATTTTCAATTGATTTTCAACTATTTTTCAGGACTGCATTATGTTCAAAGTGGTAGATTTGCAGGAGATTTAATTGTAGAATTTGGTTTCTAATTTTTTTTTAGAAATCTATAATTAATATCAATCAACAAATTATAGTAAACCTGCCAGAATGTTCTTTGTGTCTTTCCAGAAAAGGAAGATATGACACTCAGATGGTGTTTGCATCTGAGCAATAACATATCCTTCTGGCTGACTTTTCCATATGTCTTGTTATATCTTCTATCACCATCATTTTGTCGTCCTAGAAGGAATAAATTAGGTCTTGAATCAATTTTTATTATTTTCTCACTGTACCGTGAAAACTAGAACTCAATGGTCTGGCCTTGCTTTTCTGGGTCTCATAAGTATTCCACTTTTGACAGGATGCTGTCTTACCACCTCTTTATCACACTCTAGTAGTGGAAAAAGGAGCTCTGGTAACGTAGCGGTTATGCATCGGGATGCTAACCTCAAGGTCAGCAGTTCGAAACTACCAGCTGTTCTGCAGGAGAAAGATGAGGCTTTCTGTTCCTGTAAAGATTTACAGCCTTGGAAACCCTGTTCAGGGTCGCTATGAGTCGGAACCGACTCCATGGTATTTAACAACAACAAGTAGTGGAGACTATTTGAGTTTTCATTCTCTGACAGGTTTTCTCCTTACACAGGATGAGGTTTTCACAGGTTTTATGGTCATCTTCAGCAGAAATGGTGACAAGTTAGAAACATTCAGCCTAGAATGACTGTTCCATTTTACATATTAATGATTATTTTCAAGTGAAAAGTCAAAACACCCAGATTAATAGTCAACTTTTGTTCCATCAACCAGATGTTTTGTCTAGATATCTCCATACTCAGAGGCTCACAAAACAGCTGGATAAATGTCTGAAGACTGTTTATTCGTCTTAATCTACTGACTTTGAATAGATACTTTATCTAAATACAAAACTTTATTTATGATTGTAAAAATTCCACAGTAGTTAAAAAGATATATGCAGAGAAGTTTTTCTGCCAATTCAGTGGATGATAAATACCATCGGTGCATCAGTAGTACTGTTCTTGGCAAACAACCATCATTTAGCTCTCCATTGTCATCTGTTAAAAAAACAAAATAAAAAATGAGGATTTTTTCCATACCATAGCATTCCTCTTTTCTTTTTCTTATCCAGTAGAGAAACAATAACATCAAAAGTTTCTCATTGACCAAATTATCTTTTCCCTACTTTATCTTCTTCTGATATTTCCTTGCAAGTCAAGGGTGGTTTTGTCATTCCTTTGGTTTAGGGTTGCCATATTAAACAAGTAAACATAAAAGATGCGCCGTTATATGTGAATTCAATATAAACCATTTGTCCCATGCATTATTGGGGACACACTTATGTCCCCAATAAAATATACTAAAATTGTATTCATTGTTTATCGGAAATTCAAAATTTGCTGATCATTTTATATTTTATCTGGCAACCCTACTTGGATTTAATTCTGATTTCTATAGCAATCAACTCAATAAAAAAAAAAAAAATCCCATGTGACTACTTGTGCTAGAAATTATCTTCAGTGTTGAAGTAGATCCAGAAACAACATCATTAAAAGGCTACACTCCTAGAATCTAAAACCTTGTTGTTGTTGTTGTTATGTGCCATCGAGTCGGTTCCGACCCATAGTGACCCTGTATAGGGTTTCCGAGGGTGTAAATCTTTACGGGAGTAGAAAGCCTCATCTTTCTCCCGCGGAGCACCTGGTAGTTTCGAACTGCTGACCTTAAGGTTCGCAGCCCGATTCGTAACCACTACGCTACCAGAGCTCCTTAGAATCTAAAACCTAGTTGGAGATAAAACACATGTGTGCAAATATTGAATGCACCAAATTGTGCCATAATCTTGTGGTATTTGCAACAGTATGTGTCATAAAAGGGTGCCAAGGGCAACCAGCATTCCTGAGAGGGAGATTAGAAGTGATTATAGAGATAATGGTATATGAAGCTGATAAGCCCTGAAGCTGAATTTCAATGGAAGGAGTATAGTAAAAGAATGATGGCAAAAATATCCTGGTCATAGTCAAGAAACATTACAAAGTGGATCATCTGGCTGGAACATGAGCTATAAGCAGTAAAGAGTAAAAAATTCAGAGAGCAATGATACTGGAGACAGAGGTCAATTTAAAAGCCTTTAAATACCAATGAATAGAGATTGAACTCTGTTCCACAAGCAACACATGCATCTGAGTAGAGAGAAGTGGTAATATCAAACAAAGGATGAGAGAAGTAAAGGTTCATACCAAACATCTCAATGCAAGTGCTCAGCAGTTCGTCTAATGTTGCTGCTTTTCCAAGTCCACTTGACCCCATGGTTGTTGAATCGTTGTCAAAAAAATATGGACATTTTCAGAACCAGACAGATCATCTCTATAATCATGCAAGCTGGTGATGTTAGGTGGTTGGTTGTTCTTAGTTGTACTTCTGTTCTTAGTTGTATTTCAAGAAAACTGTATAGAAATAAGGGAGGAAAAAGTTATTATACTGGAGTTAAAGTCCATTGAAACATCACTCTCCTACCTGAAAAGAATGATGACTTCCTCTTACTTCATGTTTCTATAAGAGAAATGTCAAAGTGACGAAGGCTACAAAAGGCCTGTTATATTGTCCCCTAGCACACATGATGCTTTGAGACCACAGAGATGACCCCCTTAAATACTACTCCATCCTGCTGCTGAAACTTTTTGATGCATACAATATTTTTAAAGTTTCTCCATAGTCTTGAGCTAGAAGACATTCAAGAAGATGATGTGTTGTGTGGTTTAATATTATTACTAATGTATTTCTTTGAAGCACATCTCCCAAGAGATAAATGTTTAAGTGCAAATATATTAATTAATGAGTATCATCTTCAATAATCTTGTAACTGTTCAACTGTAAAAACTTCTTTTTCCCTAACTTCTTTAAAAGGAGCACTAATAGTATAAAATAATTGATTACACATCATGAATTTGGTAATGGATATATGTGTTTAATTTGCCAAGTGACAAATATGTATTTATTTAGACTTTCACAACGATGGTGTGAAGTGTTGTTGTTGTTGTGTGTTGTTGAGAGGGTTCTGACTCAGAGTGATCCTGTACATAGTTTCTGAGAACAGCCTTGTGGTTAGCAGTCCAAAACGTATCCTCTAGTAATTTTTCCCAGTTTACAGATGTGGTCTTGGAACCACAGAGTGGCAGCAACTTGTCTGAAGTCAGACAATTATTAAGAACCCAAATCAGAACTCCTTTATGAATTAGAAGGCTGATCTCAGGCTTTTATTATTCCTTCAAGAATGGGTATCACAAAGTGTTATAAATATGCTGCTAATCTAATGTGTAGAGTCTCACACCTCCACACTATCTCCAGAAAAGAATACAAACTAGATTATATGTCTCAAATTATCATCTCATATGCATGCAGTGGTGTGGTGCTGTAGGATAAGCACTGGACTGTTAATGACAGGGTTGGCAGTTCAAAATCACAGTTGCTGTCAGAAATGCTATACAGGGTCATTATGAGTTGGAACCAACTGAACAGCACACAACAACAACAATAAATGCATGCAAAATCTCAACAATGAAAAAGACTGGAAGAAGAATTGATGCATTCTTATTGTGGTTGTTGATGAAGAATATTGAATATACTATGGACTGCTAGATTAATGAATAAATCAGTCTTAGAAGAAATACAATCAGAATGTTCCTTAGAAAAGGGGACGGTGAAAAGACAGGATAGTGAGACTTCGACTTTCTTATTTTGGACTTACCATCAAAAAAGATCAATTGCTAGAAATGAACATCATATCTGGTAAAGCAGCGGATCAGTACAAAGGAGGAAAATCCTCAATGATATGGAATGGCTCAATAACCAAAGGATTCAATCACACCAACATTAATTAGCCCAGTGTGTAAAGGACTAGGCACAGGACTAGGCAATGTTTTATATTTTGTTATACATTAGGTTGTCCTGAGTCAGAGCTGACTTGACAGCAACTAACAGAAACAAGATCTATCACAGAGGTAGAAGAAAAATATTCCATTTAACATCACTGGCATTAGGAAAACAGGACTGAGAACAACTTCATATAGTTGTTTGTACTGAAAGCATCCCTCTTCAAAACATACCATCATTTAGTTGAATTGAAATGAATTATTTTTCACTTTTTATTGTGAATTGAGTGATGACTGAACAAATTATATGCTTCTATTTCATCTCAAAGATTGCAATCCCCTCAGTATAAAAACCACCTAACCCACTTCCTCCCTGATATTCTCATTTCTATTCCTCAGTCTTTTCCAAAGCTTCTGAATTTTATCTTTGAGTAAATATTACCTTTTTGATCTCCAATAGTTGACCACTTTATGGTACACGTACCTCACTAATGCCATGGTCTCCTCTCTATATAGATCTATTGTTTGGCTGAAAATTGAGCCTGGGGGTGAATTTGGTTCCAGTCCTGAAGGTTGACCAAGAACCATATTCTTGAGGTTCCACTAGTCTCTATCTGCTCAGTAAACCTGGTCTTTTTAAACTATAATTTCATTTTACAGAACAAGTTCTTGGTACCATATCCATTCAGGGCTTGGAAGAAGCAGAGAGGTCATCACGATTTAATATACAGCGCTTGTTAACTTTGGGCAATTGAGTAGATAGATATGATCATTGAGGATTCATCTCATGAACTGCTTGGAGCTAATTTTATACTCAGACTTGACTTATTCAGCTGGCAAGCACTGAGCACTTGATATATGCCAGACACTGGGCTAGACATTGAGGCTGCCATGATGAACAATCATTGTCCCATGCCTGCCTTCAATGGACTCACAGCAACTTCAGAAGGCAAACACCTGAATGAAGAGGAAAAAAGCTAACTTTATTCTGTATGGATGCACTTCAATGGAACCGTTTGAGTGTGTCCGTTTACCAGACAGTTAACTCTGGAGTAAAAATGTTTTCTGTCTTTATAATTTCAATGTAGGAGCCATATTATTGTGTAAAGGTTATCACTCTTGGAGCATAAAGAAAGGGTTACTTTACCTTGTGCAATAAAAAGAACAAAAGCAATGGACCAAAGCTCTTTTACCTCCATTGCTAAATGACTTGTTAAAGGGAAATACTGAAATGGCCTGGGACTAACTCTCTTAAATCTCTTAATAAATTCACTTTATTTAGAAGGTTTTGTTCTAATGTATTTAAAATAATAACACCCCTGTCCCCACTCCCAGTTCCCAATTGACATAGCCTACCTCCCCTCCTTTCCTGGATTGATTTTTATCCGTAGCATATCATCTGATATACTAGATATTTTACTTATTTAAAAGATTTTAATCACTTTTGTAATGTAAGCTCCAGGAACTCAAGAGATTTTCATATTTTTATTTATTGATGTACTCAGTCACATAAGTTTGTGCCTTCTACATTGTTGTTACTATTGCGCCAGCAAGTCAATTCTGACTCATAGTGACCCTGTGTAGGGTTTCCAAGATGTAGCTGGTGGGTTTGAACTGCCAACCTGGTGTTTTGCATACCAGTGCTTATCCAACAATGCCTAAAAAAGCATTTGTTAAATGAAGAAACAAGTGGAATGGATGGATGAAGAAATAAGATACACTCAAACATACGTCTTCAAATATGTGTATATGTGTGTGAGTGTATGGACTCCTGGTGTGGCACTGTAGGCTAAGCACTGAACTGTTAACCACAAGTTCAGCAGCTCAAACCCACCAACTGCTCATCAGAAACCCTATACAGGGTCACTATGAGTTGGCACTAATTTGACAGCATTTAACAAACAAACAAAACATGCAAACATTTTAAACTTAAAAAAACAAACACCTCAATGCTCACTTCCATCGAGTTGATTCTCCCTCACAGTGACCCTATAGAACAGAAATACCCTTTGAGTTTCTAATACTGTAAATCATTACAGGGGCAGGCAGCTTCACCTTTTTCTCTTAGAGCAGCTGGTGGGTTCAAACTGCTGGCCTTGTGATTAGCTGCCCATTACATAACACACTACACCACCATGGGTCCTTATTATAGACTTATTAAAGATTATTTTTAAAGTTTGTTTTATCATTTACATTATCCTTTTGCAAACATCACTGGGACAGAAATTCCTACCACATTTCTGCACTTTTTAGTATCTTACTAGATTCGTAGTAAGAATGCGGTACATCCTTCTGAATATTTTTGGGCAGCACGCCAGATTTCCCTAATGTAAGTTCTGTCAATCTTATTCAAAATCAAAACTGGACAATTCCCAAGCATGTTTGATTACTTGATTTTATCTATGTTGTTGTTGTTGTTAAGTGCCATCAAGTCGGTTCGATTTTATCTATAGGCATATTAAAATCCTGTTTTACTCACTAAACAGTTTATGCTTAGAATCAAATTGTTGTTATTACTATTAAGTGCCATCAAGTCAATTCAGACTTACAGTGACCATGTACAGGGTTTCCGAGGCTTTGAATCTTCATGGGAGCAGAAAGCCTCACCTTTCTTCTACAGAGCAGCTGGTGGATTCCAACCAAGGCCTTTGTATGGTTCACAGTTCAGTGCTTATTGTACAGAGCAAATAATAGCAGTAGTAGTTATGTGCAGTGGAGTCGGTTCTGACTCATAGCGACCCTGTACAGGGTTTCCAAGGCTGTAAATCTTTACGGGAGCAGAACACCTCATCTTTCTCCCGTGGAACAGCTGGTAGTTTTGAACTGCTCACCTTGCGGTTCGCAGCCTGATTTGTAACCACTACACTACCAGAGCAAATAGACAAGATTAATAACTAAGCTGGTTTCTATAATCAAAAGCATAATTATCCCACTGAACTGTTTGGGAAAGTTGACTTACACACAAGGGGTTAGAGATAACCTGGTACCAAAGTCCTGTTATCATGGTTTGGAATTAAATTTGTGATCTGCAAAGAAGCTGGCACAAGATGAGCTAAGTGGATTGGGCTATCAGGCTATAATATGTTCTTGCAACCAATAGGCTTATCTGTATCTCTGCTTAATATTCTGTCACCTGCACATTTACCTGAGATCTCATTTCATATACGTAAGCATTATTATCTCTAGGACTGCTTTTTCAAAGGTATATTGTTCAAGCAATATACATTCATCATTTAAACAGACAGTAAGGAAAAATGAAAGGAAAAATGTTAGCCATCATCCAAAGACAACTCTTGATTCCTTTTGTTTTGCTAGACAAATTTATTATTAGGGTAGTTTCTTCTATGATCTTCAATAGCTTAAAGAAATATTTACCTATTACTTTCAAGCAGATTTCCAGGTCTGAAAGAAATGTCAGAGCAATTGTTAACATTAGGAAATGTACTGAGGAATCAGTCTGTAGACGTGATCTGCCCAATGTGAGTAAGTACTTTGGAAAATCTGGTAAAACAAGAAAAACCTCAAAGTTAAATAATGGAAACTCAAAAGAATCCACATTGAGTTAAAGTGTTTCTAG